AGAATAATGCTGATGCAGCCCTTTATTCGAGTCGAAACCAAAGGGATATAATAATCTCAATGAAAAGTGCTCATTGATAATTTAGGTGTATCAAACATCTCGATAACTTAATTAACCTAAATATTGTATGGATTTTAGGGACCTTTGATTCCACCACCTGATGCTGAATGACATGGAGAGTAGTGTGTTCTTTAGTCCCCATTAGAGTTTTATCCTATGCTTGTCGGTTACCGGCAGGAATAATTTTTTATTATTATTGTTTCCTTTAATTCCTAGAGGAACACAGGGCTTCAGCAGTGCGTCTCCATTGCGTTCGGTTCTCTGCTAGAGTCTTCACCTGGCTCCAAGTCTGCCCACACGCCTTCACCTCCTCTGCATATGACCTCCTCCAAGTCACCCCACCTTCGCACTGACGACCAACTGACTTGCCGCTTCCCTTTCGAGTTCTTCTCGAGCAATGGCTTGTCTAGTGATGTCACTTGATGGTTTCCTCAGAGTATGGCCAGCCAATCCATCTCCATTTCTTCCTGCCTATTTGTTTCACCACCGGTTCCTGGTTGGTTCGCTCCCAGAGATCCCTCACTGTTGCTCATGTTTTCTGGCCGGCCATCTGATCTTGAGTGGTATTGAGCGAAGACAACTGTTAATGAAGGTTTGTAGTTTGTTTGAGATGCTCTTTGTGACGCGCAGTGCAAGTCTCTGATCCGTATAGTGAGTAGCACTGACTTCACATTGGAGTTGAAAATCCGGATGTTATTTTTGATCCTGAGTGCTGTTGACCTCCACACCTTCTTGAGAGTAGTGAAAGCTTGTCTTGCTTTTCCGATCCTCGCAGCTTTGATATCGTTGTCAGTTCTGACAGCCTGTGGTTGAAACGATTCTTCCCAGGTAGGTAAAGGAGGTTGTTTCTTTCAGGTTCCTCCCATTCATGCTGGCTGATTGTTGTCAGTTGTTGTTGTTGCTGTTGGTGGTGTTGGCCAGGAATCTTCATCACCTCTGTTTTCTCTATGTTCACCTGAATTGAAGTCCTATCTTCTCTGGGTGCTTCTTCTGTCAACTTGTTGCTTTTCACTTGCATATCTTCCAGTTTGTGGGAAATCAGATATGTGTGTCATCGGCGAAGTCCAGGTCCTCCAAGTTTTTCGTATGGGTTCATTTTATGCCTTTTTCGTCACTGCCCGCTGTTTATCGCATTATCCAATCTACTGCATTTGGGAAAGCCACTGGCGGTAGTAGGCAGCCTTGTGGTGATGGTGCGTTCCTCTGAAGAGTATTAAACTACTAGGCTGACGAAACAGCTGTTTAGTAATTCCTGGTGGTTTTCAAGGTGTCTCTAACTGATATCAATCCGTAGTCAAACTTGGAAAAAAAATTTAAATCCCTACAAGCCAACTCTTAAGTCATTTATCACTTATCTTAAAAAAATAAACGTGAGATATACAAAAAATATACAAGGATTCATTCTGGCAATAAAAAATCCTTTGTGTTGCCAGACGAACGATAAACGGAACGATGCTGTTATTAATGATACTTTGCTATCTGATGCCAATAGATGCATCGAAGGGTGTAATAGTAAGCCAGAATTTACAAAATCTCAGCTTATATGTATACAGTGACTTACTTATTATTATAGTTCTTCTGCATGAATGAATTCTTTGCTGTCAAGTGGATAAATTGGTACAGATATACAAATCATGTTCAACATTCTAAGTGTTAGTTAACTTCAATTAGATAAAACCAAGAGATACTAAGGAGTGTCGGATGACTGTTTCGTCTTGCAGGGTGAACTGGCTATCATTTCTGACTTCCGCCTATTTGCGATATAGCCGACCAATGCCACCGGTGAATATCTCTTCTGACTCCCAATTCGGTAGATCCTGCCGATCACATTGAATTTCGTCTGAGTGACTGAATGTGATACAAGTGTGCTGTGTAACCGGAAGGTCTTGCGTTCGAAACCCGTTGGTGGGTACGTACTAGCGAAGAGTCCCAAACTAGGCCGAAACAGTTAGCTGTCCAGTGCTCCCTGGTTTTCACCTGCTAGAGTGGAGCTAAACACACGCTGAGGTGGTCTAAAGCGGCAGTTTATCCTTCACACATCCATTGATCATTTGTCGACTGTAGAAATTGATACGTAGCTCAGCCATAAAGAAGGCTTTCCTCAGTGATATGCATAAGCGATTCTTCAGGATCTCAGCTGCGGTATCACCTTTCAATTCAACACTCATAAGTAGCAGTTTCTTCGGCACCGTCTGGGTTCTTTCAGGCTTTTCCTTTACCTTGGTGTTTTTCTCGATAAATCTTAGAGGATATCCATTCTCTATGAGGACTTGTCTGAGTCGCCCCAGTTTCCCCTCGATTGTATCACTGGATCAGGTTTCTCTTTCTTCTCAAAGGGACCCAACTATGGAAATCTGTGTACTGACTATTCCATGTTGGTTTCCTGTAGATCGATCTTTGAAGAGAACCATCAGATATCCTTTTTAGAAGAAAATCCAAAAAATGGAATAGCTGGTAGCTCAAGTAATATGTATTTGGTTTCGTTGTGTTCTCAGATTTTCACAGTTACTGCCGCCTATCTAATGTAGAGTAACATCTACAGTTTACTGAATCACCTCTGTTTCTATATACATTAGGGTTTTATTATCCTTCGAACTATGATGTTATTTATCCATTTCAAAATAAACTCCTTGATACGTCTTGCTAAAGAATAAACATTTAAGTCAACAAAATAATGAAGATATTGTTGATAATATGCACAATTCCATAGACAATTGTTTTTCGCCGTTATGACTGTATTGAGAACACCACTATTGAATGAATGAACTAATTAATTAATTCATGAGTTAATTAATCTGCCTGGCTGCAGGACAAAGTTGCCTGGAGCTCCTTCTAGTGGGAAGTCGTGACCATTAGGGGTACAGCAGGTCAGGTGTGAGTAGAGATACTCGCCATTTTAAAATGACATTGGCTAGTAGTGGTAGCTTTATTTCGTGATTTGGCAGAAGTGAGAATTCATGGGCTGGACATTGTATTGGCTCCCAGTGGGCTGCTTAAAGGTCTATGAGCTCGCCTTGTAACCAGAAGGTTCCGGGTTTGAACCCTAGCGGTGAGTGCGTACTGATGATGAGTCGCAAACTAGGCTGACGAGACAGCAGCTGTCGTGCACTCCCAGGTGGTTTTTCCAATTGTTCACCAAGTGATATCAACTCATGATGAAATTCTGTAACTAACCAAGTCAAATCCACGCAAACCAACACTTGAATTTAATTTATATCCAGTATGTGTTTGATAAAATAACAGAGTGAGTCTGGGTGAGGATACCATTGTATTGCAAATTTTATAGATTTTTCTTGGAATATTCTACAATCTTTTCAACTTTTTCACTTTTCACTTTAATCATCGAAAGCGCCAGAAGTATGCTGTACTATAAAAGGCTTAACATTACGCGAATGGTTAAGTCATATCCCAGATTTTGTACTAATTTGCGTGTGTGTGTGGAAACACCTACATGGGGAGGAGTAATCACTCCTTGCACTTTGGAGGTGGGTGAGATTGACATATTTCCAAAAAACTTGAGAAACGACTCAGCTGAAAAAACCTCGATAAACCTATCCTCATCTATAGCGAAATCACATTACTGAATGGTTTCATAAAACAGCTTTCACTATTACATATATATAAAAACCAATGGGAAGATATAGTAAAACATGCAGAGACAAATACCCATCCGCAACGTTAAGCATAACTTCCGTGCTCTAAGACAGTTGATTGTTACTCGTATCCTACCTTGACAATCCTTGTCTGATTACATTACCGGGAGTGTATTACTATTATTATTATTCCTTTGGGTTCCGACTGGAACATAGGACTTCAACAATACATCTCCACTTTGTTCCATTTTCTGTTGTCCTCTTCATCAGCTAGGTCCACGATTATCCATAATCTCTCAGCTCCTCCTCGCCACACGATCTCCTCCATGTCACCCTCGCACTGACGACCCCACTTATCGCCTCCCATTTGGGTTACATTCTAGCGATGGTCTAGATTGAGCGCGATTTCATTCACCGGTTTTACGCAGTGGCATGTGCCCAATCCATCTCTATTTTCTGCTGCATATTTATTGAGCAATCGGCTCGTGGTTAGTTTGTTTCCAGCCAGAGTTTCTTGTTGCTAATTCTTTCTGGCCGGCTGGCCATTTGTTCTTTGGTATGGAGCCAGTGTGGATCAGAATCTTGGCGCGTCACCAAGAATATTTCCAACAGCCTGTTGCAGACCTTTATCAACAACAGCTGTCTTCGTTCTATACTGAAGATCAGATGGCCGGAAAGAATCACCAACAAGAAATTATGGGAACAAACAAACAAAACAAGAACCAATCGCTCCACAAATATGCAGGAGAAAGTGGAGATGGATTGGACACTCGCTGAGGAGGCCGCTGGGTGACATCGCGCGTCAGGCCATAGCTGAAGTGGAACCCGAAAGGGAAGTAGCGAGTGGGACATCCAAGATTGACATGGAGGATATCGTGTGAAGGGGAGTTGAAACAGTATGGAGTAACATGGAAGCAGGTGAAATGTACAGCAGAAGACAGAAGCAAGTGGAGACGTGCAGTTGAAACCCTATGTTCCACTAGGAATCCAAGGGAACAATAATAATAATGATAATAATAAATGGAGCCAGTGTAGGAGGCTGTTGTTGATAAAAGTCTGGAACAGCCTGTGGGAAATCCTTTTCGTGACACGTCAAGTTTCTGACCGGGAGTGTGTAGCAGCGATAATAATCCTCCTGACTATTAAATCACTAATCATTTTGTAATTTTCTTATCTTGCTTGCCCTTCATTTTCCATGTAAATTGAATTCACCAGTGTCAGCAGCAGATTGTTCGAAATATATATTGCAGTAGTAGTGAATCACATATGTTTATTAACAGACAAACAAACTCATTCTTTTAATAAAAAAAGTAATCAATTAATTTTACATCAATTTTCTTGTTAAAGGTATTCAATAGAGAAGAATTGCAGTCTATTGCTGATATATGCATTCGTCATAATCTTGTATGCATTTCAGATGAAGTCTATGAATGGTTGGTATTTCCTCCTAATAAACACATTAAAATTGGTAAGTCATTTCAGTTCACTGTGTTTTTTCTTCAAGTAGACATAGATATGATGGAGAAGATTTGTAGCTCAGGTAGATGATTTTGATGTGGTTGTGTTCTCTGAGCTGGATAGTTAATTTGCGAAGCTTTCATCGCCCTACTAGGTGACATCTTCAGCCCGCATACTTCAATTTCTTGGAGTGAGCTTTTAGATTTCTCCACGAGTTTATTAATCATCTCTCCCAGTGACCTTGGACGTGATTGGTTGTTTTTGTGTGTTTTCACACCTTCTAGGCTATTTGTATTGGAACTGATTGTTTCTTTGACTTGAACTTTGACCCTTTGTGTGTGAGGTTTCTTTCTTATCGGTTGATAAATTTATTCTATCTCGATGTGTCTATTGATTGATGATTCATTGGAATGCCAAGCTTCTAAAAATTCTCTAGCATTCTTGTTGTTTCCTCTGTCTAATGTTTGAACGTTGTCCCTGTCGAATTGATGTCCATGATTGTCTGAATGCAGTGTGGTTATATGAGGGAGCGGATATCATGTCTTTTGACGTCTAGCTTATGTTCATGGATACGAAGAGGAAGGGGACGTCCACTTTGGCCAATGTAGTGTTTTTCTCAGTTGTTACAATTTATTTTGTAGATGATGTTGGTTTTATCTTCCTTCGCTGTTGAGTCTTTTGGTTGACATAGAACTGAGTGAAGTGATTTTGTCGGTTTGTGTGCGAAGTCAATACCTAAAGGTTTGAAGAGTCTTGTAGTGATTTCTGAGATGTCATTTATATATGGCAGGACGACTTTCTTTGTGCTTTCCTTGGGGCTTTTGGTTTGATAGGTTGGCTTGGGGGTATATGTCTTTTGATGAAATTCCTTGGATATCCATTCTTTTGGAAGACGTCCATGAGATATCTTTCTACAAGGTGAATCTGCAAAATTCACTTTAAGGGTGTCAAGAGACCCCTCAGCTGGCTCACGAGGACTCGCAGGTGTAGGGATAGCACTGAGTGTTACGGCGGAAAAATCACTTCTTGAGTCGATTCCAGTAGATAGTCGTATGTGTGCGGTCCGTCTGAACGGGTCCGTTAAAAGAAGGAAAGACGGCGCTATCTGTCGTTGCCTTTTCGTAGTCTCCGCTTACGCCCCAACAGACTGCAGTTCGGATGAATTAAAAGATGACTTTTACCTGAAACTGTCTTATTTGCTGCAGAAAGCAAAAACGTTCAGACATAGTTGTTTTAGCAGGCGACTTCAATGCCCAAGTAGGGAAGTTGTGCCAGACTGAGAAGTATGTAGGTGGTACGTATGGAGTTACCTGCCGACGAACCGACAACGGTGATCGTCTTCTCCAGTTTCGCTCAGATAATCATCTGTTCCTAGTCAGCACTGACTTTCGACACAAAGAGAGATATTGTGTTACCTGGCGACCTCCATCCCTAAATCAACGCTGGACTCAGATAGAGCACAGCCATAGGGTATCGTTGTCGAGGGTCAGTAGAAGACTGTCGCTCCTTCTGGAACACGTGCGTAGACTCTGATCACGCTCTAGTTCGCGCACGTTTATGCTTACGACTAAATGGACATAAGAAATTGACGGCAACGAAACAGTTACGTCCCCAACTAGATCGTGACACTGAGTCCTTATTTAAGGAAGAAAAAGCGAAACTAGTTTCTGGGGTCGACAGCAGGACTTCCCCTGAGGTAGCCTGGCACAACATACAGTTAGCTGTGGACACAGCCGTGAAAGCTGTGAATAAGCTAAAACCTAAAGTTAATAAAAGCCATTGGATCTCTACCGCCTCATCCGAACTGTTTGACGCAAGAAGACTGATTCCAGCGAGCTCCGATTATGACGAGGAGCGAAAGGTACTTAAACGAAAACTAACAAAAATTGTGGCGACTTGAACTGCCGCACATACGTGCAAAGTTCTGTGTCGAAAACAGACAGACAGACAGATATTTCCTATGTTGTTTCACAATGATCTGTCATTTTTCCACTCCACAGGTACTTTTAATTGTTAGGATAACTTTTCAAATCTCACTTTAAGAAGTATCCATCAACCTTGTTGTCTCCTGTTCAAAAGCTTTTGCCATATTGATTGTTTACTTCAAGTTAAACTTTGTTTTTTTCTCTGTCTCTTGTTGTTTTTAATCTTTAGCCTCTTTACCTGGTATGTGGTCGCGTACTTTAACTATCGGCAGTGCTGGTAAAACATTCAGTGTAACTGGTTGGAAGTTAGGCTGGACAGTTGGACCGGCTAATTTAATTCAAGCCATGCAGTTACATCAACAGAATACAGTGTATACATGTCCAACACCTTTACAAGTAATCAATATTATTATTCATTAGTACAGTATTCCTTATTTATTTTTTTGGTGTATTATACCGTTTATTAAATCTTACATCAACCCTAATCTTTTGTTTATTTATGTGAACTGTTAGTATGGATACACATGCTTACAGTTTACAATTTATTTAGGATAGTAGGCTATTTGCCTGTGGTAATCCTTTCGATTTGTTACACACAGGAGGTTCAATCTCGCCTTGAATGAATCAACGGATGGCGCTGATACGACGTGTTCCGGTAGGGAGTTCCAATGGTTCACAATTCAATGCGAAAAAGGGATCTCCAGACGCAGACGATTCGACCGTGGTTTTTGAACCTTGAGGTGATGTCCTCGCAATTGGTTGGTGCCAGAAGGAAGAAATAAATTAGATAAATTTGCTCCAAAATCATTTCTTAGGATACGGTATGCTAGTATTAGGTCATCCCTAAGTCGTCTGTATGACAGTGGAAATAACCCAGTCGACTTAACCTCTCCTCATATGACAGAGTTGAGAAACCCTTTATTAGCTTAGTTCCTACTCTTTGCACCTTTTCCAATGAGTCTATTTCGTACTTGAAACACTGGCTCGCTGACAGGATCCCATATTCCAAATGAGGTCTGATATAAGTCGGATATAATATACGAAATATATCAGCGTCAAAATTCGCAAAAGCCTTGCGTATGGCCCATAATAATCGATATTTACCAAAGGTTTTTTCTCTCACTTCAGTGTTTGCTTATCTAAAGTGGAACAGTATAGTGTGTGTGTGTGCGATGTTGAGGATTACACATGTACACATTATCGGTTGAGGATGCTAAACTGAACGATAAGATTCACCAGTTGTCTTCGATTGACGTGACTGAGGCATATGTGTCTGTCTGACTGTCTTCCTCAATGAGAAATGGTAGCTGAATTAAAATTAGAATTGAGGGGAATGACAAAAGATAACACATGAAGTCTCTGACTTCTGATTTAAGCAACTTAAGGGAATGTAGGAGAGGTGAATTTAGTTCCGTAAGGTGTTAAATGTCAATGATTGGAATGTTGTGGTGGAATGATTCAGAATGAAGTACACATTCATTTTCTTTTATTCATCTTCGAAGTTCCAGCCGGACTCCAGTGATCATCATTTTATTGTTTTATTTGTCGTCTGTTTTCTTTCATCACATCCCTCCTGAACGGTCCCTATTCATGATATTTATGCTTATTTCAACAAACTTTGTGATTAGTATACGTATTTTCCCGAAACTGCTTATTGTTAATTTGACATCTATGTATATTACATGTTGATTTCTACTCATATTACTTCCCTTTGTCTTTGTGTAATCTTTAATTGTAGTACTTCTTTTTGTGGTAGTGTGTACATTGATAATGTGTTCGTTAACAATATAAATTCGTTTGAGTGTGTTATTATTATTGTTTCCTTTAATTCCTAGAGGAACATAGGGCTTCAGCCGTGCGTCTCCATTGCCTTCGGTTCTCTGCTACAGTCTTCACCTGGCTCCAAGTCCACCTACCCACATGCTTTCATCTCCTCTTCACATGACCTCCTCCAAGTCACCCCACCTTCGCACTGATGATCAACTCTCCGCTTCCCTTTCAGGTTCCACTCGAGCAATGGCTTGTCTAGTGATGTCAGTTGATGGTTGGTTTCCTCAGAGTATGGCCAGCCAATCCATCTCCATTTCTTCCTGCCTATTTGTTTCACAATCGGTTCCTGTTGCGTTGGTTCGCTCATTGCCAGAGATCTCTGTTGCTGATCATTTCTGGCCAGCCATCTGATCTTGAGTATTGAGCGAAGACAACTGTTAATGAAGGTCTGTAGTTTGTTCGAAGTGACCTTCGTGACGCGGCGCCAAGTCTGTGATCCGTATAGTGAGTAGCACTGACTTCACATTGGAGTTGAAAATCCGGATCTTATTTTTGATGATGAGTGCTGTTGACCTCCACACAGACTTGAGAGTAGTGAAAGCTTGTTTTGCTTTTCCGATTCTTGCTTTGATATCCTCGTCAGTTCCGTGTGCCTGTAGTTGAAACGATGCTTCCCAGGTAGGTAAAAGTGGTTGTTCTTGTTTGAGTGAATGAAGGTCATTTTGACCCGCACTGGGAAACCTTGGTGTGTGATTCTTGTGGACAGTTTTTAGTCGTTCCTCACCCCCCAAACCCCACCCCCTCATTGGGAATATTCTCCTTGAAGTACTTATATTAGATAGTTGGACACAATCGGCCATAAGAGAAGCCTTTCACCACCTAGGTTTCATGCTTGTTAGCACTCCACCGGTCGTCAGCAAAGGGTATCTGCACTCACCTTAAAAGGAACCCATGTCCCTGCTTCTGAGATTCGAACCCGCGTCACCTAGTGCTGCAGTTGGAGACGTTACCACTGAGCAGGTATTCGGGCTGGCTCGTGACTGACTTCCTGTAGGACTGATTGAATTGAATATTTTCGATTGGACACTAGTCAGTAACTGGTGTCTTTAGAAACATACCTTCCCTATATAGAGCTCTACCTCACGGCACTGTTGAGGTCAATTTGAGTTTTTGGTGTTATATTATCGTTGTTTAATAGAACCGCTAAAATATTGGAGACTAATCATCTCTTCCCCAGCGTTTGGAGAGTTTCGTGATTAACGCGTTTCCCAACGAAGTTTTTTGTCAGCTATGGAGTAGAACGTGGAGATCAGTTTCTGGCGCTCACACCATAACCGAATAAATTTAGTTACTGCAGTGATAACTAGAATCTATGCATTTCTGAGGAAAGTTTTATATTGCCTTATCAGTCAGTCTATCGGTATGGAGGCTCATTAGATTTTATTGTATTTCTTCTTCTCTAATACTGATTCGTTAATTCATCAGCTATGCTATACTTTTAGTTCACTGCCATCACTGCATCCGCAAAGAATTAACTGTTGAAGAACTTTAAGCTAAGAAAACTTGGACATACACACGACAACTACAAATATGACATTCTTATCACGATAATGCGCGTGACCTTGTAGAATAATCTGTACATCAAGTTCGTGAAGAATGAATTGCCTTCTAGAAAGAAAGTGCTTCAACTCTCACAACAACAACAACAAAATTTTGAATGGTACTCATATCCTTAAAATTGATTTTGTTTGTTTTCTTGTATTCTTTTTTTTATTATTAAGGAGGCTGTTGCGCGTAGTTTAGAGATTGAATTACCCCAACTGCATAAACCTGAATCATATTTCAATGAAATGTGCTCCTTAATTGAACCAAAAGGTCGTAATATGGTAAAGAAGTTGAATGAAATTGGGATGATTGCAGTCAGACCAACTGGCGGTTATTTTCTGGTAGCAGATGTCTCTAAGATGAGTGAGTTTGTTTTGTTTTTGTTGTGTAATCTCTTCGTTCCTTCACATTCCAAGTGGAATATAGGGCGCCTTCAAGCTAGAGGCCTAAAGTTTCTGTAGCGGTGGTTATTATTTTTGCAGGATGAGGTTGTTAGCCAGCCTCATGCCCAACCTTTCCTCTTTACCAGCCCCATTACTGTCTTAGTGAGGTAAAGGTGTGCGTCGGTACCCGGGGATCGAACCCCGGACCACCTGCGTGGTCGGCAAGCTGTGCCACCGATGCACAAATGTGCTGGACAAGGAATAGTTCAAGCTAGATATGATTTTTGATTGGACGCTAGTCAGTAACTAGTGTTGTGTGTCTATTCCTTTGTTTGATGCAGACTGAATTCTATCAGTCACGTTTGCCATTTGGCCACTATGCTATTTTACTCACCATTACGGTGAACTGTGAATTGTTGGTATTATATAGTTGGAGGCAATTGGCCACAGGAAGCCTTGCTTGACCTAGGTTTCGTGCTAGTTGGCATTCATCAGTCAGTCAGCAAGGCGTATTTGCAGTCTCGAAGGAACTTATTTCCCTTTTGAGACTCGAACCCGCGTCACCCAATGCCCCTGCTGCAGTCAGAGACGTTATCATTGAGTTATTCAGGCTCTTTTTGTGTCATGGATTGACTATTCTCATTGTCGCATTGTTACGTGATGTCTTTACTATAGTCATCAATGTGTGTATATATATGTGTGTGTTTATGCTTCAGTAGCTGAAGTTAATCCTTTTATTTAAATGAATAGCATCAATTGGTGCGTGATATGCTTATTTGAAATTTAATTCCTTGCGTCTTGAAGTCATCATTACACTACTTTCTTCTCATCTTCCGTAGGGACTGGATTGAGTACTATAGCTAGCTAGGCGCCTCCTATATACCGACATATATATTTCATTGGAGTATTTTATTCTTCAGGCGTATCTTTGTATTTTTATCGTTCGGTGGAATCATTAAGATCGTTGCGTTTATTTGCAGGATAATAATTGTAAAAGAATGGTTACACTGAACAAAGAATATTCACATTTTTATGATAACCTGCTCTTCATCATCAGGTTCTACACTCATATGGATCCATAATAGTGAATGAATGAATGAATTGTTGTTACTAACAACATTAATGTTGTTTGAATAGCACCAAATCAATAGTAATAATCTTCTCATTTCTGTGGCTACCTGGGCAGCCTTTCCAGCTTCGTACATTGTACGAACATTCCACGTCGCCATCCTTAATTTTGCTTTCATCGAAAGAAGGCACATTGGCTGACTGACGAAGGCTTTTACCAGCCTGCGTCATTTCACTTCTCTGATTCCATCGGAATGTACTGCTCAGCAGTCCTCTCCGTCCTCCTTCATGGCTGTGAGCGAGACTTGGCCATTGAGAGTGGAGGACATGAAAAGATTAGTTGTCTTTGATCATAGATGTCTGCGTTCTATCTACCGCGTGAAGTGGTATAATAAGGTGAGCAATATTGAGGTTAGGCGTCGAGTGCTAGGTAAGGAGTGGAAATCAATCGACGAAACTGTGAAATTACATCGACTGAGATGGTTAGGACATGTGTTATGTATGCCTAGTCATCGCCTTCCTCGATGGGCAATGTTAGCTGATATGGGGTCAGGCTGGAGAAGAGCTAGCGGTGGTCAAACGAAAACATGGCACCAGTCAATGAAATCTACAACAGTTAGTTTAAGCCAGCTGCGTTGGAAGGTGTAGACTGGCTTCCTGCTTAGGGTCCTCGGGACGGTAAAAACCAATGGTTGGAAACAATTGGTGACATGGCTGAAACTGGTTCTCAATGGCTGGCGCAGATGCATCCACTCCTTGTGACATATGACTTCCAATCAAACTGTTTTGTACTTCGTTATTACTATTCCTTTGTCTCACACCTCTGTTTACTGTCTATATTATGCATTTCGTCTCTTGCTTTGTGTGCTACAAAGAGGGAGTGTGGCGACTTGAACTGCCGCACATTGGTGCAAAGTTCTATGTCGAATACAGACAAACATACAGACTCAGAAACAGTTATCTCATATATTGAGATAAATTGCCATCCATTGAGGATAATGCTTTCTTGCCACATGTGTTAGTCGAAACTTGAGAAACTCCAGGTTGTGAACATTTTAAATATTCGCCAAAGTGAGCAGTACTTCGAAAGGTCATATTTTAGTAGATTTAAACAACTGAATAAAAGAAATTAAATGCAAATATTTTGATGGAGGTTGTTTTCTGTGACTCAAGTTTCAAGGAGGCCGCCAATATTCAGGGGAAATGGAAATACACAACTTTACTCCAAGTCGTCTGAAGGACCGAATACCGATACTAATTGTTAATCACCTTTAACACCCCAGGGGCTGTGCCAGATAAAGATAGGAGAAGACAGGCTGGTTCAAGTTGGTGAGAACGATTGACTTGTATTTTACAGAAATACGTGTTATCAGAATACTATGTACCTCGGAAATTTGAGCCAACAAACGACTAATTTTATTGGCTGGATAATTTCAAGTTTCAAGGTCGTGGAGTCGCATTATTAACAATAATATTCTGCCTTAGCATAGTGATTTAAACTTGTCCAGACTGGCTTTATCTGTTTTTAAGATTAAGCAAACCTAGGCGTATATGACACAATTTTTTCTAAACTTTCTCTAATAAGGTCAATTAACCCATGATTGTGTCATCAATGCATAAGATCCTTGGGTGTTAACCTGATCAGTGTAGACAATTTTTGGTTATAGTGATCACTCTGAATACACCAGGGTGAAAAGTTTGTGTGTGTGTGCGTATGTTTCTCCTGAGAACTGGCGTATTGTGTTACACTTGGTTAGCTAACATTCACCTCGAATGGTATTCATACACTTTTCCTAAGGCGGTTTCTATGTTCTCTAATTTTTAATTTTGTGTTTGTTTTTAGGTGTTCCCTTGAATGAATTAGAGCAAAATGAATTATTACCATATGATGTTAAATTCAACAATTGGATGATGCAAAAGAAAGTGAGTGTCAATTTTGAATTTTCACAAAAGAAACAGATATGATTATTATATAATACTGTTTCCTTAAATTCCTAGAGGAACATAGGGCTTCAGCCGCACGTCTCCACTGCGTTCGGTTTCGCATGCCAACGTTTTCACCTGTCTTCACGTCTGCCCACATGTTTTCATCTCCTCTTCACATCACCGCCTCCTCCATGTCACTACACCCTCGCACTGACGACCAACTGACTCGCCACTTTCCATTCGTCTTTCACTCGAGTGATGACCTGTACTGTGGGTGATGTTATTTGAGAGTATGGCCAATCCACTTCTACTTTTTCCTGCATAATTGTTGCACAAATGGTTCTTATTGGGTTGGTTCGCTCCCAAAGATTCCTCACTGTTGTTGATCTTATCTGGCCGGCCACCCGACCCTGAGCGAAGTGTTGGGCGAAGACAGCTGTTGATGAAGGTGTGTAGTTTGTTCGGAGTACCCTTCGTGACGTGGCGCCAAGACTCTGATTCATAAAGTAACACTGACTTCACATTGGAGTTGAAAATCCGAATCTTAATTTTCATACTGAGTGGTGTTGATCTCCACACAGACTTGAGAGTAATGAAAGCTTGGCTTGCTTTCCCTATGATCCTCGCTGCTTTGATATTCTCATCAGTTCCGTCCGCCTGTAGTTGAAACGATGCTTCCCAAGTTGGTGGGTAGGTGAAGGAGGTTGCTTCTTTCAGATGAGAAGACGTAGTTTATTTGAATGAAACGTGTAATGTATTTGCGCAACACATTTCGGACATTCTCATCACACACACACACACGCACCAGAATACTTGTTATAGACATTGATATAGAAGACAAGAGAGCATGAATTATTGCAATACAGGTCAAGGTCAAAAATAAAAGGTACGCAGATGACGTACGGGTGTGGGGTGAGGAAAAAAGAAGACAAAGGGTGAAAATATCATCGAGTGAATTCAATCTTGGTTCTAAATTGGAATACCAAGACTGATTCAAAGTAGTAACAAATAATTTTTGGGTACATAAGGCAGGTTTAAGTCTTTTTATGACCAAGGCTTCATTGAATTTATGTATGTTACCCAACGTTGTGCTATATATGAGTTTAAAGGTATTATTGAAGCCAACCTTGTGACCCATTTCTATGATGTACTCTACCATAGATGATGTTGGACATCTATTTCCGAGATCACTTGTATCCGTTGGTTTTATATGTTGTTGGAAAATATTCTGTTACCCTAACCTGCAGAGACTGATGAGTCCTCCCTATGTATGTGTGTGTCCATACATGCATGTAAATTGGTGAACACAGTGGTATGTAACACTATTGTTCGGATGCTGTGTGTGAGGGTTTACAGGACAGTATAGATTGGCGTTTTTGAGTCTCTTAAGTGACCAGTGTTTGTTCATTATCCCTGAATGGCGAGGATATACAAACATCCTCTATAGGATATGAATGGATCCGTAGCGGTCTTTTTTGATGTGGTTGTGTTCTCTGAGCTGGATAGTTAAGTCGCGAAGCTTTCATCACCTTACTAGGTGACATCTTCAGCGCATACTTCAGTTTGAAGTGAGCTTTTAGATTTCTCCACGAGTTTATTAATCACCTCTCCTGCTGGGTGGCCTTGGACGTGATTGGCCGTTTTCGTGTGTTTTCACACCTAGGCTACTTGTATTGGAACTGATTGTTTCTTTGACTTGAACCTTGACCCTTTGTGTGTGAGGTTTTTTTCTTATCGTGTCATCCTTGCGCAGGGGCCATGCTAATCTCTGTATCGTTCCAATTTTAGTATATGTATCGCCGAAGCGAGTACAAGCGAGTTCTTTCTTATCGGTTGATAAATCAATAGACAAATCGAGATTGACAAAATTTATCAACCGATAAGGGAGAAACCTCACACACAAAGGGTCAAAGTGCAAGTCAAAGAAGCAACTAGTTCCAATACAAGGAGCCCAGAAGGTGTAAAAACACACAAAAACAACCAACCACGTCCAACGTCACCGGGAGAGATGATTAATAAACTCGTGGAGAAATCTAAAAGCTCACTTCCTCAAATTGAAGTATGCGCTGAAGATGTCACCTAGTAGGATGATGAAAGCTTCACAAATTAACTATCCAGCTCAGAGAACACAACCACGTCAGAATCATCCACCTGAGCTACAAATCCTCCCCATCATATGTAGAGGTCTTTGTTTGACACTTCTGTATCGCTTAATGAATTTCAACGTATAGTTGTTATCTAACAATATTTCAGTGAGTTGTTGTGTTTCTTCTTCAAGTGTGTTAGCTGTACATATATAGCGACTGCATCTGAACAAGCACTTAACCAACAGGTTTTTGTACTGTTGTCATTATTATTGTTCCCTTGGGTTCCAAAGGGAACATACAACTTCAACAACACATTTCCACTTTCTTCTGCTGTCCTCTTTAGCTGGGCTCTCGATTGCCCATAACCACTCATCTCCTCCTCGCCACATGATCTCCTCCATGTCACCCTCGCACTAAAGACTCACTCATCGCTTCCCATTGGGGTTCCACTTAAACAGTGGCCTGCATTCAGGGCGATTTCATTTAACGATCTCCTCAGTGGTATGTGCCCGATCCATCTCCATTTTCTTCCCAGATGAGTGAAGGAGGCAACCTCTGTAAAATCTCTCCCGTTGATGTTGACTGATGCTGGTTGTTGTTACTGTTGGTTGGTTATCTTTATCACCTCCGTCTTCTCTATATTCATCTGGAGTCCTGTCTTCGCTGCCAGCCTCCTCTGCCATTTTGTTGGTTTCCGCCTGCAAGTCTTCGAGTCTGTGTATCATCAAACGTAAATCATCCACGTGCCAAATCCAGATCTTCTAGAGTCCTCTTATCGATCAGTACAGCGTAGTCCTGTCGTCTCGCACACCACACTCTTCTCCAGAATCCAGTCCACCAGAATTAAGAATATCATCAGTGATAATAGGCAGCCAGCCCTGTCTTACTCCTATATGTACTTCGAACGCCTCGCTTAGTTTCCATTGTGGATCACTTGACATGTGGCATTGTCATAAAGCCAGCTGTTGATTGAGGTTGATAAAGATTTGGGCATTGCATGCCATAGTGTTGAAGAAGTTTCCAAATTTTCGGTTTACGCTGCCTGTCGAAGGCCTTCTCTAAGTCGATGAAGTTGAGATGTGACTGCCATTTTATGCTTTCTTTGATGATGATGCGTAGAGTTGCAGTTTGATCAGTCCATGATTTGCCTGCCTTTCTTGAATCTAGCTTATTCCGGTGGGCAGATTTCTGCATCCGAGGCATCTATTATTCTCACGACGATGATACGACCTAGTATTTTACTTGGCCTAATTGGTTCTTCTGTGGTAGTTTCTCAAGGTAGCCCTTCTTTCAATCAGTAGGTACTTTTCTTTTCCTCCAAATGTTTTACATTGGTGTTGTCAGCATATCTGCTGCGATCTCTGGATCCGTTTCCAGTGCTTCAGGAGGAATTTCGTTGGGCCTGCAGCCTTCCCGGACTTCAGTAGCTTGATCGTATTGAAGATTTCTGGTTTCGTTGGAAGATTGGTGTCAACTGACAGGCAGTTATGTGCGTGCTGTTGTTGGTGGTTGTATTTCTGGGCGAATTGCAGGTGACGGTTGATTCATGTGTCCTTTGGAGTGATCAGCCCATTGTTTTATTTTTGTCTCCTCTTTGCTAATTAAGTTCACTTGACCGTTTTCCACCGATTTCATCTGTGTTGGTCCCTTCCCAGATACAGAGAGAGCTGGCTATCTGATATAATGTCCTGAGTTCTCTTTCACATGCTGCCTGCTTGCCTGTTCTGCTGCAGTCGCCAGTCATTGTGTCGTAGAATTGTCTTTTGCCCTTCCTAACACTCTTCTTCTTCTTCACTTCTTTATTCAGTGCAGTGTACTTTGACTTCAGCTTCTCCTTCTGTCGTCCATCTTTGAATTGGTCCATCTTGTCTTTCACCATCATCCTCTCTTCTATTAGCTTCCAAGAAGGTGTTCGTTGAGAGCCATTTATTGTCTTCTCTCTTCTTTCTTCCTAGAAGAGTTGTACACGTTTCCTTAAACGTCATCACCTTCAGAGAGTTAGTTCCAATGTTCTTCCACGCAGGTTTCTTCAGTGATGCCAAGTAGCGTATCTGACATTGATCTGATCTGTAGTGAAGTTATCCTTTATAGTTTTGTTCTTCAGTTTCTGAATGTTGAACGTGGATTACAGTGGCCCGTCTCCTTTTGTTTTCATAGATTTCAACTTCACCTTGAAGGTGCCTTGCACTAGATAATGGTGTGATCCCACATCTGCTCCCGTTCGCGACTTTGTGTCCAGCAGACTGACTGCGTCTCCGCTTTCTTGAGATTGAGATGAAATCTACCTGGTTTGTGGTGTGTCTGTCAGTCAAAATCCATGTGTCCCTTTGTAAATGCTTGTGTTTGTACTTGCTGCCTCCAATCACGAGACCATTGAAAGCGCAGAATTCTGCAAAGAGTTCTTCATTGTCATTCATTCCACTAAGAGCCTCTCGACGCATTACGAATTGTCTTCCTGCATTGTCTGCCCCCATTTCCGTTGGCATTCATACTGCCCATAAGAATTTTGATGTCGCCATTTGGGATGTCCATTATTGTTTCTTGTTGTATATGAAAACCTTCCTTCTTGTCTTGTTCCGCTTTGTTTGTAGGTGCGTAGCATTGAATAATTGTAACTTTCCTTCCTTTTGAGTTGAATCTTGCTGTCACGATCCTTCAGGATGAAATTTGCTCCCACTGCATTAGGGCTTCGGCTGCCGCTGGAGACATCATTATAGCCACTCACTCAGTGTGTTCGTGGTTGTCGTCTGGGTGACCGGAGTAGATTGTTGACTCTCCCGTTGACAATGTTTTCCATCCACATCCATTCCATCTGTTATCTCAGATACCCAACACTTATGTGACATTTCTTCTAATATCTTTGGCTAACTTGCCAGGTTTCCCAACCAGCCTATCGTACATTTTATGAACATTCCCCGTCCCAACCCTTATTCTTGCTCTTATCGAAAGAGGACACATCGGCTGATGGACTAACTGGCTTGCCTGAGGCTGGCTTTCACCAGCCCACTGTGTCATTTCATCTCTCTTCAGTTCCAGCGAAGAATAAGTTAGTTTTTATGGTTTTTTGTATTTTTCATCTTTTTCTTGTTCGCTGCAGTTTCTGTAGCAGTTTTATCAGTTTTTTTTTGGGAGGTATTGTCGGTAGCCTCACGCTTAACTCTCCGTCTTCACCTGGGCTTGGGATTGGTTAGAAAAACTAGGCGAGATTGAAAGCAGTGCATCGGTCAGGGATTGTGAACGCCTTACCAACCACTCACGTGGTGATTCTACCACTGAACGCGAACCACCAACAAAGTTTTCTTTTCTTCAAATTTCCATTTTTTTAAAACTTCTACAACTCTGTTACTATTGTTTTTTATGTGTGCTTTTCTGTGTAATTATTATCAGGGTGTTTCTGCAATTCCGATGAGTGTTTTCTACTCTGATTCCAACCAACACCTCGGTTCAAACTACTTGCGATTTTGTTTCTTCAAGGTAAATCCCCTCAATTTTTTGTTTGTTGAATATATTTGAAAATTTAACTTTTTAAAACGCTTTGTACATTAATCGACACGTATTTTTGATATTTCTCCTTAATTGTTCTATAATATTTTGATTTACTGGATAGCTGTTTCATCCTAGTTGGGGACTCATCATCAGTACGCACCAACCAACTGTGTTCAAACCTAGGAAATCCCGGTTACAAGTTGGTGAGGTCGTAGACCATCAAGCAACCACCCGACCCGATGGCCAACCGCCATGAATTCCAACTTCTTTGATGCAGTTGTGTTGTCTGAGCTGAATGAGTTAATTTGCGACAGAGAGCACAACCACATCAAAGTCATCCACCTGAGCTACAAATCTTCTCCATCATATTCTAACTTCTGCCAATAATTTTACGACTTCTTTTTATAATTTTTAGCTGAGGTTTGACTAGTTGCTCAACTCATCTAATCATATATATATTATTTTAATCTGTTTATGAGTCAAGTCAGTTCTTCTATACGGATCAGAAACTTGGCGGCGGGTCACAAAGAATATTTCCAACAGCCTGTTGCAGACCTTTATCAACAACTGTCTTCGCTGGCTCTATACTGAAGATCAGATGGCCGGAAAGAATCACCAACAAGAAACTATGGGAACAAACAAAACAAGAACCAATCACTCAACAAATATGCAGGAGAAAGTGGAGATGGATTGGACACTCGCTGAACTGAGGAGGCCACTGTGTGACACCGCGCGTCAGGCCAGTGCTCGAGTGGAACCCGAAAGGGAAGTGGCGAGTGGGACGTCAAAGGGTGACATGGAGGAGATCGTGTGACGAAGAGTTGAAACAGTATGGAATAGCATGGATGCAGGCGAAAAGTACAGCAGAAGACAGTAGCAAGTGGAGTTGTGCAGTTGAAGTCCTATGTTCCACTAGGAACCCAAGGGAACAATAATAATAATAATGAGTCAAGCATTTGAATAGACTGAGAATGGTAGTTGAGTCATAGTGTTAGATAGTTGGAGGCAATCGGCCACAGGAAGCCTTGCTTGACCTAGGTTTCGTGCTAGTTGGCCACATTGCAAAACCTGAGTGACTGATAGAATTCAGTCTGCACCAAAGAAAGGACTCCTCACACGTCACACTAGTTACTTGAGTCATAGTGTATTATATATTACTCATAATATTGACAAAATTAGGCTTGACAATAGTTTCACAAGATCAGTGGGCTAATAAGTCACAATTAACTAGTGTGTGTTTTATCATAATTATCTGAATCACATGTATAATTTGTTTTCCTTTACTTAATTCATTATTTCATCAGGAGGATTCTACGCTGAATGCAGCTTATGAAATTCTAAAGAAATGGTGACCTATGGTTATGAAATCAATCGCCTGAACAGTCTTGCTCTTTCTCGTGATTGGACACTTCCTTTTTCCATTTTTCTGATTTATTACATCAATATTGCTAATTCGGTGTGTTTCTTATCTGCTTTTATTTTGATATAAAATGATTGATATTCCATAAAAGAAAAAAAAGATTGTTCTGTCTTTTTTTGTTGTTGTTTGTTGTTATGAAGTGTCATGATTAGCTGACATCGGTTAGAGAACCATTGGAAAAACCACCACGGAGTACTGGGCAGCTGTTTCGTCCTAGTATGGGACTATTCATCAGTGCACACCCACCGCCAAGGTTTGAACTAACGACCTTCGAGGTGCAAGGTGGTGAGGTTGTAGACCATCAAGCAGCCCCTGGGGCCCTATTCAATGGCCAGCCAGGCTATGAATTACAACTTCCGCGATCACTAGCTGAAGATTCCCAGACTTGGACGAAACAGCAACTGTCCAATACTGCTGCCTTGTTTTCCAGTGGTTTTCTAACCAATATCAACACGTGACGGAATCCTGTAACCAGTCGTGAACCAACACTGGTGTTAACAGAGATTGTTGAAAACTATGGAACATTAGATAGGTGTGTCTCGCACTGTTCGTGCTGCATTCCACCACACCCTACTAGAGATCGAACTTTAAGCAATGTGAGATTATGAGACGCTTAGTCTCATGACCATTCGTCGACTGGGAATTGTATTAAATGAATTCTAAATTTGTCAACCCTGTAATGAAATAAAAGGCTAGGCTCACAAATGCGCTTTCGGTGAGCATCGACTTCACGTGGAGATGGCTGTTAGGATCTTGAGGTGCGCACTTCTGACGAGTTTCAGAATGATAAGAAATTCTTCCTACAACTACAGATTTTGCAGAATAAAATGGTACCATATTTTATTTCGTCGCCTTCTCTTCAGCTGCTTACAGGGCAAAAACATTATTAAATGTATCTACAATAACAATTTATCATACTTACATAGAGTTCATTTTAAACAGAAATCAATCGATCGATATACACATACACTAATAATATATACATATATGTATATATATATGCAATCTTGAACACAATTCCGAGCATTAATAATCATACAAAATGAAAACTTTTTAGTATCTCGCATTAAGATGAAAAATATCCAGTTACCAGGGCAAAGAAAGACTGATAACTGCTTCTTTCTGAACGCACAAATCAGGTTTTAGGCGCTTGATGGAAAAGGCTTCGGCAAACTTAAGGAGCATTGAACTCTTTTGCTTATTGATAATTTTGAATGACATTTCCACGTCCACCTCATGACCCGTGTCAAGAAGATGCCTGGCGATGGCACTGCCTAAAGCATTTGTTCCCTTTAGACGTAAGCTTTTAGGTACATGTTCAGAAAATCGTAGATATGCTCTTCTTTCTGTTCTTCCAATGTAACTGCTCCCGCAGATACATGTAAATTTGTATATACAGTTGGAGTTAACATGAGAAGGATATCTATCGATTTTTGATTGCACCAGAGAGCAAGTTGTTCGAAAGACGGGAACGAGCTTAGCTGCAGGATAGGTTATGGCTAGTGATGTACTCAGCCTTCTGTTGATCATCGCTGCAATGTTTTCGCCTTTATAATCAAGCTGAAAGTAGATTGGCTTTTTTCTTACTGTGATTTGTTTTTCATTTGCGACTACAGATCTTCCATACTTATTGATAAACCTTTGAGGGTACCCATTGCTCTTCAAAGTCTTTTCAAGAAACTCAAATTCTTCCTCTAGTTTCTCTGTAGAGCATATTCTTCTCGCTCTATAGTACAAAGTCTTGACCAGTGCTCGTTTATAGCTATTTGGACAAAAACTATTAAAATTTAAGTATTGTCCTTTCCATGTGGACTTACGATAAATTGACTTTTGAAGACTACCGTCTTCTAGGCGTTCCATGGCGATGTCGAGGATGTGGAACTTCCCGTCACTTTCATGTTCCACAGTGAACTTGATATTGGCGTGTGCATCATTGAATAATCTTAGTAGGTGTGAAGCATGACTATCATTTTTCCAAACTATAAATGTGTCATCAACGTAACGACAGTAGGAAGTTGTTTCATCGATTGCATGCTTCAACTTTGTTTTCTCAAGATTTGACATGAAGATATCTGCTAAAACAAGGCTAAGTGGACTGCCCATAGCTACACCATCTATTTGTCGTTAAAGAGTGTTATCAAACTGGAATTGTACATCCATGGTACACATTAGCAGTAGGCGTTTGAATTCTGACTCTGGTAGTGGAAGCAGATCAGACTGTTGACAAATGATTTCAATGGTTTCATTGATTGGGATCATTGTGAACAAGGATGTTGCATCAAATGAGACCATGAACTTATTTGAAACGTTCATATGATTCACGCTTTCGGCGAAATGAAATGAGTCTTTTACGGTATGCACAGCTAGACGTCGGCGAATGGGTTCCAACTTCTCCGCAAGCCAACGGGCAACCTTATGTTGAGGAGAGTTGATCATCGAAAGTATTGGTCTTAGAGGGACTTCTTTCTTGTGTATCTTTGGAAGGCCATACATATATGGCAAGCGGGACATTTAATACATTTAATAATGTTTTTGCCCTGTAAGCAGCTGAAGAGAAGGCGACGAAATAAAATATGGTACCATTTTATTCTGCAAAATCTGTAGTTGTTGCTTTGTTTAAATTCATTAAGGGGAACAAATGTATGAAATTCTTCCTAGTTTCCGCTAATTTCTCCGACTGATATTAATTCCTGTTGAAATCTAATAGTGTTCAAATTAGAAGTTAATTAGGTGATAGTGACTAGCAGTGGAATCTAGGATGCGCATTCCGTCCTATTTGGGACTCGTCGGCTGTATGTGCCTGCATTCCGCAGTGAGCGATGGTGTTCCAACCGAGGCTCGAATACAGTGCCCGTAGTTTCAAATGCGAAAGCGTTATCCACTTGGGCAACGAGAGTTTATTAGGAGAAAATTAAATATATATTGGGGAAATCATAGACACTACTGTCATAATTTCCGAATATTAACGATCATATCCTCTTTCCCTGTTTCTTATTGGATTCTTCACAGTGTTTTCCCAATCTCTTGAGTTTCTTCTTCATTGGCCTTTTCCACTGTTTTTCTGAAGGCGTTACGCAACATACTACTTATATCCACTTGTAAGTAGCACGCTTCAGTGTACAGGATTTTAAGTCGGTAATGAAGATGGTTCTTATGTATGGAATTCACCTCTATGTAAGCTTTACGAGATACTGACGCTTAACAACGGAGGTATCAGATAATCTCTGATTCATGATTGGAGGTCATGTAAACTGAAGTGTATTATAGCAATATAATAAGAGAACACTGTTAAAGTTTGAATAATAATAATATAATTTATATCATTTCCTGTCTACTAGAATCAGATACAACATTATTACAAAGTTGTCCACTGGACACCAGTGAAATAATTAAGAGCTTGAAATTCTGTCTAGAAAGTAATTATTTAGCATTTAAAGGCAGTTTATATGGACAGAAAAATGGTGTTGCTATGGGTTCACCAGTTTCCTCAATAGTTGCTGACCTTTTCATGAATAGATTCGAAAATAACATCTTTCGAAGCATTATTATTATTATTATTGTTCCCTTGGGTTCCTAGTGGAACATAGGGCTTCAACTGCACGTCTCCACTTGCTTCTGTCTTGTGCTGTACTTTTCACTTGCGTCCATGTCATTCCATACTGTTTCATCTCCTCCTCACACGATCTCCTCCATGTCACCCTTGGACGTCCCACTCGCCGCTTCCCTTTCGGGTTCCACTCGAGCACTGGCCTGACGCGCGATGTCACTCAACGGCCTCCTCAGCGAGTGTCCAATCAATCTCCACTTCCTCCTGCATATTTGTTGAGCGATTGGTTCCTGTTTCGTTTGTTCCCATAGCTTCTTGTTGGTGATTCTTTCCGGCCATCTGATCTTCAGTATAGAGCCAGCGAAGACAGTTGTTGATAAAGGTCTGCAACCTGTTGAAAATATTCTTGGTGACTCGCCAAGTTTCTGATCCGTAAAGCAAAATTGACTTCACGTTTGTATTGAAAATCCGAATTTTGTTGTTGATGCAGGCTGAGTGACAGCGGAAGATTTCCAGATTGGTTTCAGGTTGATGAATGTGTTTCTCGCCTTCCCGATTCTCGCTCGATTTGACATCCTCGTCCGTTCCTCCTGTGGTTGAGACAATGCTCCCTAGATAAGTGAATGAATTGACCTCTTTCGAATGCCTCCTGTTAATGGTGATTGGCACTGGATGTTTCTGCTTCTGTTGTTGTTGGTTGTTTATTTTCATGACCTCCGTCTTGTCTATGTTCACCTGGAGTCCTGTCTTTGCTGCTTCTTCGACCAGTTTGTCGGTTTTCGCTTGTAAGTCTTCGATTTTTGTGACATCAAACATAAATCATCCGCAAAATCCAGGTCTTCTAGGTTCTTCACGTCGGTCCAGGATATCCCTATCTTCTCGTTTCCCACTGTCTGACGCATAATCCAGTCCACCACAATTAGGAATATCATTGGTGATAATAATATGTTTGTTAGTCATCTATATTCCACGATATAATGTCATGGGCGTGTTACCATTCAGAATGGAGGATATAGATGATGGAAGTAGGTCAGTAAATGAACTCAACGACGATTTTCCAACTTAAGTGCGTCAACCTGAGATGGGTTGCAGGCGTACTGCTCTAAGTCCTACAATTCATCAAGGGTAGTACGTCGAAGAGCAGTCCATCGTACTTTTTGTATTATTTTGTACAGATGTTCATGTTGTATAATGAATTGGTATCATCCCTCTTCTATCTGTTGATTAATTTTGTTTGTGTCCGGACGTCTTCCACTTGGATAGTCAACCTAAGAAGGAATGTGGGCGTACTGCTGTAAGTCCTACAGTTCTTCAAGGGTAGCTCGTCAAGGCAGAATCCGCAACATTTGATGTATTGATTGTACATATGTTTGTGTTGAGTAATTCAGTGGGTTCCGATTCATCTGATTGTCGGTTAATTTTATAGTTGTAACATTGTGTGAATCATCATGTAATGTTTTGTAAGTACTTCTGAATTCACTTCTAAACTTGTGAACCAATCGAGTAGTGTTAGAGTCAGCGTACGCGATTGGATACGCCTGGGAGAGGATTGGGCTAGAGTGGAA